TTATTTATTTTTGGGACAGGGAGAGACAGAGCATGAACGGGGGAGGGGCAGAGAGAGAGGGAGACAGAGAATCGGAAACAGGCTCCAGGCTCTGAGCCATCAGCCCAGAGCCTGACGCGGGGCTCGAACTCACGGACCGCAAGATCGTGACCTGGCTGAAGTCGGACACTTAACCGACTGCGCCACCCAGGCGCCCCAGAAAGTTGTATTTTCTATGGGTCTTGTAATATCAGGGTATTTGTGTATACATCACATAGTTTTGCTCTGGTTCGTTTTCTTGATGTGGGTAGTCTCCCATCAAGAATGCTCAGCCCTGTGTTGTTTTCATGAACAAAAAAAAGGAGGGTATTTTTGGGAGAATTGACTTCAGAGTTGGCCACATCTGGAGCCAGGGAAGTTATTCCACCACACAAGAGACTGAGGTTTTTTGTTGGTTTTTTTTGTTGTTGTTGTTTTTGAAAAGTTGATATTAAAGGAAAAAAATCTCCCAATGATGCTATCTCAAAATGTCTCAGTTTTTCCTGAAACTGAGGTTTTGCTACCTTTTTCATTTTAATTGAGTCTTTCATTAGCACTTCTCTTTTTTTTTTTTAATTTTTTTTTCAACGTTTATTTTTGGGACAGAGAGAGACAGAGCATGAACGGGGGAGGGGCAGAGAGAGAGGGAGACACAGAATCGGAAACAGGCTCCAGGCTCCGAGCCGTCAGCCCAGAGCCCGACGCGGGGCTCGAACTCACGGACCGCGAGATCGTGACCTGAGCTGAAGTCGGACGCTTAACCGACTGCGCCACCCAGGCGCCCCTTTCATTAGCACTTCTAATACAATTAACAGTCTTGAAAAGTCCCCAAGACCAGTTCTTCCAAGATATGTGCTGATCTAAGGTATTTGAGGTGTTTGCCAGGAAGCATCATGAAGGTCTTCCCTGAGACATCTGTGTGCAAACCACAAGGAAGGAGGAGGGGAGGGGAGGAAAAGAACAAGGTGACATGGGTAGGACCTGGACAGAGCAGCTGTTGCATACTGCTCCAGTATCCGTGGGCTCCACAGGCAAATACAAGGCCGCCCAGATGCAGCCGTGGTCAAGGGCCAAAGTGCAACTTTTCCCATCAGTGTCACAACGGATGTCCTTGCTCTCCAGCCGATGGAAAATTCCTAGAGGAGAAAGGGGAAAAAAGGAAAGGGGACTGTTTCAGGGGTGGGAGAGGGTGGTGGTGATTACAGGATCTGGGCGTGGGGAAGGGAAGCGCTGCGGTTCAGCTCTGCTCACTTTCTATTGCCCCACCTGGATCCCCTACAGGGAGCTCAGTTTGCAACCAGTTTGCTCATCTAGGGAAGCCTCCACTGCGGGCTTAGGCCAGAGAGGACTGTAGCATTTGATCTCATCCCTAATGGAAAACAAATGCATGTCCTCTGTTTTTCTCCAGGACCAGTTTTGTTTTTTGTTGTGTTTTGTTTTTTTGTTTTCTTATTGTTGTTTTGTTTTTGTTTTAACTTAAAACCACTCCAGTGGCTTTTCTCTGCTCGTAACTGTGTCCAAAGCCAAGTCCTTTGGCTATTCAAGTCATCCCCCTTCCTAGCAGTGAGGTTAAGATTGGGACAAACCAGTTCTAATTCTAGAACTTGTCAGCCACAGTTGGACCATCACAAACCAACCGCACAAGACTGCTCCCTTCAGACCAATAGTGGAGATTATTTTTCCAAGATGTGATGAACCTTTTAGCTCCTTTTGAAAGAAAAATCACCAGCAAGTACATCTCTCTGTCTAGAGATCCTTTCTAACCACAGGTTGTTGAGATCATCTGCAGTGGGTGAAAACCACTCCTTTAGGGAGAAGGTTTTTTAGACCAGAAGCATTAGTTATGGATGTTGCCATTGTTCCTTGCAAGGAAGAGAATGAAAGTGTAATGGTACTAGGTCATGTGTAAATTTATGCTGTTTTTACTGGCTCTTAACCCTTTTCCTTCCAGGAATTGTTAAGTTCCTTTGCAGTCGTATATCAGTCCTTGGGTACGTTCTCACCAAGGGTGACTGTTTGATGGTAAGGTCCCTCAGTAGACCAACAGAATAGAAGTCGGGTCACATAATGGACTCCCTGGAAATTACGTAAGAGAAATAAATACCCTGGTATTTGCACAGAGAGGAAATTATGAAATTTACTTCGAGCATGAACTCATAGACTCTCTCAAACTCTCCTGTGAGAAAATCTTTCTTGGTCTGAGGGGGTCTTCAGTGGAATTAGGGGTGAACTTGCCCGAGAGATCACCAGTCCCTATGTTGCTCGAAACAGGCTGCAGATCCTTCTGGTGGAGACTCTGAAGAGGGGGTTCAGGAGACAGGAGAAAGAACAGGACACCTGTCCATGCCTAGGGGGCCTAACTTTTTTCTTTTTTTTTTCTGTTCTTTCACCTTTTGGTGTTGTGTCCGTGACCTGTAAGTCAACGCACAGAGAACTGCTTTCCCTTATGGAAAAATAATTTCCAAAACGATTTTTATTTTCTTTGTTTTATTTTTGGCCGACCGGACTCTGTTACCTGCAGGGCATAGGTCGGTTTTCTATGCACTGTGCTTGATGCTTTTCCGGCACGTTGCTTTGATGGGCTATGCTTTTTAATGGAGCCTGTGGAGGTAGATCCTGAACTGCATGTCCAGAGACGAACCAAATGCTAAAGAAGGCTAATAATACAATTCTAACTGCTCTGCCTGGATCACTGGCTATGTCTGGGTCCTCTTTTTTGTAGGATTTGAAATAATGTATGGACCACGGAGAGGAAAAAGGAACAAGGCGAGCAATGCATGAGGAAAGAAGATAGAACATAGGAGTGAATTAATGTGTGCGCTTAATTCACTTAGGGAAGAGCGCCGACTCATTGTGAGCCCAGGATTGAGGAGACTTGCATACATTTCCACTATACTGCCTGGATTGTGATACTATGGATATAGCATTGATGACGGTCTTTGGTGCTAAATGATGCTTTGACCAAGTAGATGTTCAGATAAGTTCTGCCAGGACACACAAATAGCACTTTCATCGGCCGCTGCTCCAAGGGAACTGCTTCTGTTATGTGTACTTAGCTAGTGTTTTCCAGAAAGACTGCAGCTGTTTAGCCTCAGAGCTTTATAGATTATTCTTTTTTTGGAAAATACTGAGAGTCGCCACTATCTGCTCTGAATGTTTCGTATTTTAATGCATAAGAAGTATGTGTGCAATGGGTGAGTAGATGATACTTTTTTAAAATTGCAAATTGTAAAATATAACCGAACTCTTAAACACCATACAATCAGAATCACGAAAGCAAGCTACTCAGAAACTGAGTCTCAATGCCGACTATAGATCTTTTGTCAGAACTAAGAAACTACAAATCAAAATGTGGCCGTCTTCAGCCTCTTGTAAGGTCTTTAGGTATGACACCATGAGGTCAAGACATAGAACTCCGAGTGTGCATGTGTTTTCATGTTTATATACTTTGAGTTTGCTTTGTGCCCACTAATTTATTAAGTACCTTCCTCCTTTCAGTTAATCCAGTACTAAGGAGGCACTACATTTTTGTATAAAATGGGTTTTAAGCTTTGCCCAAAGGGGAAAGACATCATTATTTTTCAAGGATTTTTCTTTTTGGAAAGCATCACGGTGTGTGTTAACATACATAAGAGATTGAATCTCAGTAAATGTGAAAGCTAGCTTTCTTAAATGATTTTCTTTCCCCAAGTTGACCTAACAGGTATAGAAGAGAGTCTGCACGTATTTCAATTTACATGCAGGAAAATGACAATGAGCTTACAAGAAAGCGTTATTTATAGTGTCAGTTCCTGCCTTGCTAAAATTTGGTGATTCAGTTATTCAAACCATGTAACAGAATAGATTTAGTGTAAATACAAGTTTTAAAAAGAGATTTTCTTTGCTGATAAGACCAGAAGCTGAAACACAGACAGAATTGAAGTCTGTGTAGTAAATTCAGAGTTTCTCTGTTACTAACAAGAGAGACAATTTTCTGAAATGCTCGTTTACAGTGATCATTCATCTGGATTTCTTTAACATTTAGAATGGACCAGGGGAAGCTCAAATCTGAATGGAGGAGAAGAAATATTTGGATTTGATCCTAGTTAGTACCTTAAAATATCTAAGTAAGCACCTATAAGATGGGCAGTAATGTAACTTGGATTTTGTTTTAGTAACCATATAGGGCTATTATTGTTATTTTTCCTGTCATCATTAGTCATTAATGTTATTGGTGACCGTGCAGTATAGCATTTTAATTTTGCATAGTTGTGATACAAGTTACTTATTTGTAACTTGTACATAGGGCTTGGAATATTAAAAGACACATTTACCAAGGGCCTGGAATTAAATATCAATGGGGGATATACGCCTGCAGAACATGAACTTGTCAATGAAAGAGGAAAAGATCGATCGCATCCTCAGATACTGATCAAATTTATTTTTTTAAATGGAAGAAAGTCTCCCATAGCGAAGCACAGAAATTGAGCCAAACATTTGGAAATAGGTCTTGTGTGAGGACCTATTATACACTATACACTTTATTCAGTGTAAGAATAATTTGGGGGGAGTTAGTAACTGGCAGCGAAAATTATCAGCCCTATTCTTTGGTTTCTAGATTTGTCTGAGCACGGTTGCCGTGAAAAGTTGTATTTTGCAGAGAGGAGAGGAAGAAACCTTGAGTCTGAAATCAGCAGGCTTAGAATCTGTTATCAACAGCCTCCACTCACATGAGGAACTTCCTTGACACATAATTTCTCTATCTCTATTTCCTTATACATGAAAATTGGGATTTGGGAAATCATATGAGGAGAAATGCAGAAGAAAAGATCACATGGCAGGAATGCAGCCAGAGGCAACAGATGAAGAAATGACAGTCCGAATAACGTTCTAACAGTCCTGCTCACATCTCTTAGCCTCCTGTTCAGTCATCGGCAGATCCCTCCCCGTCTAACGAATAAAGGGTCACTCTTCATGCTTGTCTTAAGGGTCGGAAATCTGGCCTGAATTTAATGTTCAATACTAATATCTCTTTTTTCATTAATTTATTCAAATGCTGACCATCACCTAGAAAATCCGCTTTGGTTTTCTCCCTCTAACAGCAACCCATATGCCGACACAGCTATAAAATGTTCCTAAACTCCTCAGATGCTTCTCTCTTCATTTATGATTTTCGTACTTAATCAGGCACTGCAAAAGATTGTAATGCTATTTAAAGGGTTATTACATCTAAATATCTCTTTAAAACATCTTATTTCCCCTCAATTAATTTATTCTATTTATTAACCTTATCATCATTAGTAGCAGCAGTCTCAAGTAATGTCAATAATCCCATTGCCTAAGTGTTCATCGTGTAGCAAGCATTTTATGTGTCTTATTTCTCATCCTTATAGCAGCCTTTTACAGCTAGCTGGATCAATGTTGCACACACACATCAGGCTGACCCAAAGCCCAAACTCTCACCACCGTGCAATGCCGTCACCATCACCAAGGTCACATAATGCAGAACATCCCTGACATTCAACATATCAGGATTTGCCTTGAAAGAGTTGCAATTAAAAAAACAAACAAACAAACAAACAAAAAAACGTTTCAAGAGATCATACCCTTTGACCTAGTCATTCCACATTTGGAAACCTAACAAAAGATGAAGATAAACAATCTATGTGAGAAGTTAATGCATCGTTACACGAGTATAAAACAAAAATGAATACAAAGGTATAAGAATAGGTGATGGCTCATTAAAGTATGATTCACACATATTACGGACATGAAATACATGTAAACATTAAAACATATGCTTTCCAATGAATTTTCATTGCATGACAAAGAAGTATAAAAAGTAAGATACTCATGTATCAAAAAGCATGACACAATTGATCTTAAAATTATAAAAAGATAAAGATACAAAAATGGAAAAAAGGAAAAAGGGGAAGATATATACCGAAGTATTCATAATGGTGAGAATATGGATTTAACTTTTTTTTAATGTTTATTCATTTTTGAGAGTGTCAGAGCATGAGTGGGGGAGGGGCAGAGAGAGAGGGAGACACAGAATCCGAAGCAGGCTCCAGGCTCACAGCTGTCAGTACAGAGCCCGACGCGGGGCTTGAACTCAGGAGGTGTGAGATCATGACCTAAGCCGAAGTTGGATGCTTAACCAACTGAGCCACCCAGGCGCCCTGAGAATATGGATTTATTTTTTATGTTTTCCTGCATTCTTCTATATTTTTAATGCTTCTCTGGTACATTTTCCACAATTGCTTTGACAGTTAAAAAAACAAACAAACCAAAAAACAGACCTATATACACTCATACACTTGAGAACCCCACACGCACAAACTGTTAAAGCCTATATCCCCAAATCGAGACGTTCTGGTATACACCCTTTCTTTCAGAAGTAACATTACAGTATCATTGGCTTTACTCAAACTGTGTTTTGTGTTTTCTTTATAGCTTGTGGCACATTCTTTAAATGTCTATAATCGTGACTAACTTTGGTTGTCTGAAATTGTTTTTTGTTGTCGTTAGTTCTGGAAAAAGCCAAGGTGCAGGCATCTTATGGCCGGGCTCCTTGATCTAAGAAGCTGCCATCCGATGGCAGGGCTCCCTGATCTAAGGAGCTGCCGTCCGTGTTAACAGAGAATGAACTGAAGCTTTAGGTTCATTACCTTTAAGGGAGCTGATGTGTCACAGACAACACAGATACAATGGTCATCGTAATCACTGTGCTAAGAGCCTGTGTAACGTAGGGTCTGGCCTGAGGATGAATATGGTATTTTCAGAGTGTAACTGTCTCACCCACATGAAATACATTAAGTCGTCCAGAGCATGACAGAAGAGAGTAATTTACTAAATAATAATTCAGCTGCACTGGAAGTGTGAATTAAAAAAAAAAAAAAATCCCTTGGGGCGCCTGGGTGGCGCAGTCGGTTAAGCGTCCGACTTCAGCCAGGTCACGATCTCGCGGTCCGGGAGTTCGAGCCCCGCGTCGGGCTCTGGGCTGATGGCTCGGAGCCTGGAGCCTGTTTCCGATTCTGTGTCTCCCTCTCTCTCTGCCCCTCGCCCGTTCACGCTCTGTCTCTCTCTGTCCCAAAAAATAAATAAACGTTGAAAAAAAAATTTAAAAAAAAAATTCCCACTTAGTACTGCTGGTTTAAAAATATTTGGTGGAAAATAAAGATCATATTAATGGAAACAGTAAGCACTCAAATGATTTCTCAATAAATGACTGTATGGTTTTATTGTACATATATGTATAAACATGTGCATATTTGCAGACACAAAGGTACCTCCCTTACCCGGAGGTTTTCCTCAACTATTCATTACACAGCAAATACGGGACTAAAGCATTTAAACACTCTGAGAGGCTAAAATAGATGTCATAAATCCATATCCTGAAGCTTTTTTACCCAAAAAGGAAACTGACCAAAACAAGGTAACTCCAAGTTTGGCATCTGCTCATACTATTTCAAAAATATATATCTACTTTAAGCGTTTTAGAGTATGTTTGTTTTCACTTTGCATACATTTCTAAGCAACCCTGGTTATATAAGTTCTCAGTACAGTGCAGATTAGAATCAACAAATTAGATAGAGCATGATGGCAGCCTGATATATTTGACAGAAGAAAAAATGAGAAGTGAAGGCTGTCCTTGGTGGAAAAGAGGGGAAAGAAAAAAAGAAGAAGACTTAAATAAGCTTAGTCTAGAGTCATTCAATGTAGATGACATTGCTCTTCCTGTACCCTGATTGTCCCCCTCTGTTGCAGGTAAAAATGAAATTGCTTATGTTTATTATAGTGATACTGAATCATTATTCAAAAGTTGTAGTATACTCAGAAATACTGCATTCCATCTATCAACTGACATTTATTGAAACTGACTTATTTCCTTGGCCACGTGCAAAGCAATGAGGATATAAAGACAAAAAAGACATGAGAGTGGATTTTGAAAAGCTCTTAGGTGGAAAAATATAGGGACAACTATTTGGAATAGCAGGAGAGGAACAAAATATGCTACACTAGAAATGTTTCTAATGGGACAGGAGCAGTCAAAGGCTTACAGTATATCCGAGAAAATAGTTCCCGCCACAAACAAATTTCAATTAATTAGAAAAGCCATTATGCGATACACTGCATTCCCAGGGATGCCAGGAAAAGAAGGCATCCTCACTGTGTGTTACAGTGGTAACAAATGGCAAATAAGGCTTGTGGAATATATCCCACTGCTTTAGAAGAAACCGTGTCTGTGTAGGCAGAGACATGTAGCATTCTTAGAAGCAGCTTATAATTTATACACAGGATTGCATGTCTGTGGACAGATCTGGGAGCCTACCAGTCGTTTTAGGACATCAACGGAATGGAAAGACAATCCTATCGTCTAGTAGGCTCCTAGCATCCTTAACACAACTCTACATGGTAGTATTTCATACATACTAAGTCTTCGATCCTGAACTTCCCCATAAATTCCAGTTGATTCCACAGAAACTCTTCAGAATTTTTTTTTCTTGCATGATCTATTTTACCACTTCAACCATAGGCTGCCTTATCCTGTCATTGGGCCATTTGATTTTGCTTGTGCATGGTTTGTCTTCTAATGAGAGACTCTCGTTGTGAATTCCCAGAGGGAAGAAATTGTCCCTCCCACGGCTCTTAAGTCTCCCCTATCACTCTGCATATAGCTAAAATACAAAGTATATACTCAACAAATACATTTAGTGAATTTAATATGAAGATTAACTCTTAGCAATATGTAATCGAAATTGCCAAAGCTGTTTTCCCATAGATAAGATTACATTCGGTGCCTTAAAACACATTTCCGGGAGCACCTGGGTGGCTCAGTCGGTTAAGCATCTGACCCTTTAAAAAAAAAAAAAAATTCAACGTTTATTTTTGAGAGACAGAGAGCAAGCAGGGGAGGGACGGAGAGACAGGGAGACACAGAATCGGAAGCAGGCTCCAGGCTCTGAGCTGTCAGCACAGAGCCCGACACAGGGCTCGAACTCACGAACTGTGAGATCATGACCTGAGCCGAAGTCAGATGCTTAACCGACTGAGCTACCCAGGTGCCCCATCATCTAACTCTTGATCTTGGCTCCAGTCATGATCTCACTGTTCGTGAGTTCGAGCCCCATGTTTCGTCCTAAGCTGACAGCGCAGAGCCTGCTTGGGATTCTCTCTCTGCCCCTCTCCAGCTCTCATACAGCACTCTCTCTCTCTCTCTCTCTCAAAATAAATAAATAAACATTAAAAAAAAATACCATTGCCAATGGCTTGTCCTCATTGCAGGAGATTGCAAACTCATCTGGTCTACGCTTTAAGTTCACCTGACATTTATTTATTATTTCTTGCTATCAATTATTACTTTGAAGATTACTAAGGGGTTCTCAAAACACAGTGGATGCAAACGAAAGGAGTTTTTCACTTCTCATCATTGTAAAATTGGACGGCATACCTGGTTAACAGAAGTCTGAAAATATATCTAATTGCTAGAGATATTTATATAAGTGCAAAGGAAAGATCTGTGTTCCTAGCGGAACAATCCCTTCTGCGTCACACAACCCTTCATAATCTAACTGCAGATCTGGATTGTGACTAATATTTGGCTCTAATATTATAGGTGGTTACTGTGGAGGGAATCAGTAAGGGCATAACTGTCATTTCCTTGGAAAAATTTAATCCACAGATGGATCCCAACACCCAACTGCATTGGTGTCCAAAACTAATGGGGATTTTTGCTAAATAAGGACTGATTCAGCCAAAAAAAGATACACTCTGACTAGAGAAATCTGTACCATGCATCACTCCAAAAAGTCCTGAAAGCTTTGGAACACTAGAATTTTCCTAATAGGGGCATAGTGACAAGTCACTTATTAATTCAAATGCACACTTAATTTTTTTTTCCCTTTATAACACGAAGCAGTGGGGTTAGTGCCCTCATGCATTTACAAAGTGTCATTTATTTACAAAACTTAATCCTTCATGTTTCCTTATTCAGCTAAATAATTAAGGTAAAACCTCTATTCAGGCTGGGAATCTGCTATTACAAGAATCAATTTTTCTTTAACTTCAAGAAATAAGCCTTGCTGCATATCAGCCCGTGGTGGGTAAGAGTGATGCTGATGAGAAAGATTAAGGCACGTCTATTTATTTTCCCCCTCCATGACAAAATTTACACAACAACCATAATCTTATAACTTCGTGTTCATTTCTTTAAAGAGTCTTCTATTATATGAAACTATCTTGGCCTATGATTATATTCAGTTTATTCAGTTAGAGTATTAAAATAAAACAATTTCAATCCACATGACAGGAAAATGGCACCCCTTTCTGGGTGACTGACTTTCAAAAAGAGCTCATTACCTGGAAATGAAAATGCTGCCTCTCCGAATTCACACGAGCTGGAAAATTCTTAGCTATCTGCAGATGCACAGACTGAATCATAATAAAGGACATGCACATAAATGATTAATTTCCTCTTTCCCTTTAGTCTTAATATGTTTTAAGGGGTTGATTGGACCTCTCCCAACTGTTTCTTAGAAGAAATCCGTGAAGAAACATATTTCAGAAGCAGCTTATTGTGGTGGGGTGAGATGTCACTCATTGTGCTTCCTCTGACTACACGGAGTTAGCTGGTCTATCTCCACGTTTTTAGCTTTGCGCTGCAGCCTGGGTTTCTACACATCCGTCTATTTGGCAGAGTTAATGCAAGCCGTTCCAAAGTAATACATTACTTAATAAATATTAAAGTGGACACACACACCCCTACCGCCACCCACCCCCCACCCCCCCCCCCCCCCACCCCGGGTGAGGTATTATTCCCGCATACAAGGCAAGACGGTCACAGGGTTTGGAGTACTGTACAATCTCAGCAAGTGGGGCGGAACAGCAAGACGTTTGGCTCTCAGCGCAGATACGCCGCACGCACAACTTATTTCACACTCTTAATTTCAGTCTCTCGCTCAGCGCCAGGACAGGCGGCACCCTTGCTAAAGCAGGGTTAAGTACGCATCTGCAAAACCTAGCATATTTCACCAGCACCTCCTAGGGGCCAAGTGAGGGAATGAGGCTAGGAGGTGGGTACCGGCGCAGACCCTTTCCTTGAATTGTCAAGTTTCACCTCCCCTACGCACACACATCCACCAGTCCGTGCCGCCCTGAATACGAGCTAGACTGTGCAAGTAGTTTGGCGACTCTAGGAGGCCTTTTGGAGGTTTCAACCAACTGCACGAAGGACGCATTTGGTCGCTTGAGGAAATAAACATTACACACACACACAGGAATTTCAAACTCCGTGTAAGGAAGACTCCTAAATATACTGTGTCCTTTAAGAGCAAAGCTTCGTTAGGACGCCCAAGTAATCAGAGTTACATGCACTTACTCAATTGACACACACACAGAGACACAACACACACCGACAGCCAGACACACGTACACATGGACTAAGCTGTAAAAGCCGCAGGATCCAGACGCGGTTAACACTGAAGTTGACATAGGTTTTTAAAGGGTCTACATGCTCTTGCCTGGTTGCTGGGAATGAGGGCTGGGAGGCGCTGATGCGAGGGCAGAGCTGAGTGTCTGTAGGAGTTGCTGTTCCAGAGAATTCATTACTCTAATTGCTCTGATTTTAGATCAGTAGAGCGTGCCGGGCGGCGGTGGAGAAAGAGACTGAGGGCGGACAGTGCGAGAGGGAACGAGTCGTTCACCCTTCAGAGAAGTCTAGGCGCTTTGTAAGTAATTCACGAACAGCCGGGAGCAGAAAGAGCCAAGCGGCTCTGCAGTTGCAAAAGTTGTGCGCGTCTGAAATCCAGCCGGGTTCTGCGCGCCGTCCCGGTCCCTTTCCCCCATTGCATTCGCGGCTCCTCCGCAGGGGAATTCGGGGGGCGTGGGGCCGTAGGTGGGAGCAAGGGGACAGGGAGGTGCGCCTGGGCTGCAACGCAATGCAATCCTCCCCGCCTGCAAACGGTTCGCCCGGCCCTGGCACCCCGCGGGCCCCTCGAGGAGGACGCACACAGCACGGCCGCCACCGAGCAGAGGAAAAGGGAAGTGTGGGGCTCCGAGACGGCTAAGGAAGCTCATCCCAAGGCCAGGCTGCAATTAGGCGGCCGCAAAAGCCCGGCCGCGGAGCTGCCCACCTGCTGCTGTCCCAGCTGGGGCGCAACTTCCTCCTCCCCCGGCCGGGGCCGGACTCCCCGACCCGGCTCGGAGGGCGGAGGGGGAGGAAGCGGCGGCAGGTTCTCCTCGCTGGCAGCGCCGCGGGTCGCGGGTGTAGCATCCTCCCCTCCCTGCCGCGATTCCCGGGGCCGGCCGTGCGGCCAGGCGCGCCGCGATTGGCCGGCAGAGGCCGGAGGGCGGAGCCAGGCGGGCCGGTATCTCAAAAGAGCCCAGGATATTGCAGAGCGCACTAGAGCCCTGGCCAGCGCACAGTCTCACTCGGCGCCGGCAAGCTGGGTCTTGGGGATTCTGGTTTGCTTTGGCTCACTCGCTTTTACAAACTACTGGATCTTACATGCCTCTGTACCCCCCACTTCCACTCCATGTCCCCATGCTCCTGCGCCAGCAACAGGTAAGGGCTGCTGTGTGTTTTCTTCCCTCCTTGTCTCCCGCTGCCTGTGTGTCCGGGGGAGTGGACTCGGGCCGCCGTCGCCGACCCTACCCTGCCCCGCTGCTCCAGAGGTGCCCAGCTGTCACGCTGCTGTAGCGCTTACCCACGCTGCGGAGTCCCAGATCATGCCTATGGAGTTTGTGTGCGCACCAGAACATCCCCAGAGCTAAAAATACTGAGACATGCTTGGAACAGTTGAGCAATAGAAACAGATTTCTTTGCAGCATCTGTGTGTGCTCATAACTTCCAATGCACCAGCTGTAGCGAGATACTGAGTTTGGAGACATGGGCCAGGGAGCCTGTGTTCGATTCTCGCTCTAAGGGAAGAAAAAAAAAAAAAAAAAAAAAAAAGGCGGGGGGTGGGGAGTGCTTCTAGAACACTGGTCTCAAACCTTGGCAAACTTGGGACTCAGCAGTAGTCTTGATCCTTGGCGTTTTTTTGTTTTTGTTTTTGTTTTTGCTTTTTTTGTTTTTTTCCCTTTGTCATTGCTTCAAGTGCAGCGTCGAGTTCCAAACAGAGCGAGCGTCTCTCAAAGTTGCTTTGCTGGGGAAAGAGAGCGCGAGCCCGCGTTGGATTTGAGCCCGAAGACAGCAAAACTTTCACATCATATGTCACTCTGTCCTAAGCAACGTATTATTCTTAGTAATAATAGTATTAATACCTAAGTTGAAGACAGGGTGATTTCAGGAAAGCACAGTGGTCAAAATGACTCGATTCTGCAAAAGGATTGCATCATAACATAGACTTGTCATGACAATTGAAAAAAAAAAATCGAGATAGGAAAAGGGCAGTTTAATGTCTGTGTCTGGATAAGCCTAGCAGTAGGATGGTAACTAGGATACCGCTGTGAATCCTGGGGATTTTCATAAGCTCAGAATTTACCTGTTAGGAAACAAGGCATTGAAAACGTGTTTTAGGTATGAAAGAATGCATATTGGCTTTTACCACTTACTTTCTTTTCACATTAATAATCAAAAGGCTGTCAGATTTCCTCTCACTAACCACTGCCCTGTGTCTGCTATATATTACCTGTACACTTATTAGCTTTTTCTCAGCTCCCCTCCTCCCCCACCCCTGAGTGATTTATTTATATTTGCCAATATCTGAAAAGTCTCCAGGCTCAGGAGTAAGAGCTATTACTTCCAGGATGGTGAGAGGGGTCAACGTTGGGGTCAAGGTCATTTAACTTTGCTTTAACCCCTCCCCCTCAGGTTTTGGTGGCACTTTCTTTAATGTTATTGGCATCCATAGGAATATTTGCTCTAAACGCTTGTGAATTTGGCTTTTTTTTTTTTTTTAAAGACACACAGTATTTCTGCTACCTTTAGATGCTCCAGCTGTAGAATCTCTGGTTAGCTGTAGAGTCCTTGAATAACTTTTCCGTAACATGAAAGATGGGCCACATTTTTACCTGACCTGACAGACTGTTGCAGGTTTTATCTCACCAAAATGTGTATATTTCTCAGCATTTGCAAATGCTGAATGATGCTACGTGCATTGCCGAGTATAAACGGTAGAGTGCTCACATAGATAAATGCATATCCCTCTGCCCTTCCCCTCCTTCCCCTCCCCCTCCCTTCTGTTTACTGAGCTTCCAAGAGGCTGCTTTGCCAGCAGTTGTGCTCACATAGCAACATGTGCCCTGAGCACACTCAGGCTGGTCTATATGGCGTCAGCTGGGGAATAACTGCTCTAAACACTCATTAGCAGACCTTTCTTTCAACCCAGCACACTTTCTTTACCTATCCTTATTTCCTGTCCTTAGTTAGAAACTTTCTTACCCACTGTTCACCGGGACCTTATTATGGGACACATGTATTCTTCATAATTATATTTTTCCTGTTTTTTATAACCCATCTTGGAAGTATTTCCCATATGGTAAAAACGATTCAGATTCACTCATTGATACAGTGTTATTTCCTTGACCTTGAATTTATCTGTAGTGCTCTCTCTCTTTAACATCTACCTAAGATTGAAATGGCTGAACTATTTTTTTCCATTGCTTATGCTTAATTTTGGCTCAGCCTATAAATAGTCTTAACATGAACACCACCACATGTAGCCTCTCAATTTCCCAGAAATACTTTCTACCTCATTGGTTATAGCCTGGGTAAAATGATTATTTGTATCTATTAAATTTACATCAGGGCCTGAAATATTTTGGCTCAGAGGGGAATTTACACATCAAATCAACTATGGATTTTCCTGAATTGTACCCCTCAAGGAGTCACATCACTTAGTGATCTCCTCTACTCTTGATTGAATGTTTCTCACACAACAATTTTGAATGTATGTCTACAATAAAGTTGCATGAAAGCCCTGTTCCTAATGAAAGTTTTTTTTTCTAGACACTCATGAATCGGTGATTTTCAGTGAGAGAAAAGCAGGCAAGGAAGTTTTCTGCTTGCGTAAAGTCAGTTGGGCATGTGAGTAGGTCAGTAAAAAGGACATTCATCATAATGAAATATTAAGACAATCACCCTAGCAAACTGTGGCAGGTTTAGAGTTTTGCTCTGTGATCAGTTTCCCGAAACTCTGAATATACATAATGTGTGTAGACACATATACACACAGAAATCTGTTTTGGAGCATATCTATTCGAAGTGACAAAATCTTCCATTTTGCCAAAAAACAAAAAACAAAACAAAACAAAACAAAACAAACCATCTTTTTTCTCCTTTGCAGGCAGAAGGGTAAAATTTCTAAATGATGCTCTGCGTGTGGAACAAATTCTGTCATTAACAGTGCAAATAAGACAATAATAGTCGCTCAATACAGGCTGTTTTCAAGTTCTAAATGCAGAAAGCTATCCGTAGGAAGCTGGTATTATGTTTTGTGGAATTCGAACTAATGTCCTGGGGTCAGGATTTTTGGAAGATCGTAATTCAGTCTTTAGATTTCATATGGTTGTTATGCTTTAATCTGGAAAGAGTGAAGAAATAAGTCAGAAGAAATTTGAAACTGTCTACTCGTGGTCCCTAATGGTAACTCAGATGGAAGGCTTGTTTTGAATCATGAAAAGGGAATTTCTTGGTGTCAATTTATAATATAAGATTCTGAAGTCATTCAGAGCTCAAGGATACAAGCACTATTTAAGTGAGCTTTCTCCCCATCCCCCTTTTTTGGAAAGTACACCTGTATCTGCTGTTATATTATTATCCCTATCTGGTTTTGTGTAGAAATCCTTGGCAATTTCACATGAGCCCAATAATCTGAAATCACTGTTAAAACAATTCTTTCCATGTCCAGGACCTAGAACCCTGAGGAACAGGAGGCTTGTTCCTTTTGTCCAAGTACAACCTTCGTAGGGAAGCAGACAAAACATTGAAGCAGGTGGAAGACTGGGAAGGCACAGTAACTTCTTTTTATAAAGTAATTCAAAGGCACTTTCAAATCGGGCATCATTTAGGTGTCAAAAGCTGCCAAAATGTAACACACATTGCAATTTTCACAGATGACTAATCTCAGGAAAAATGTGTTGGGGCACATTCTTGCATAATAACTTGGATAAGGAGGGAGAAGCGAAAAGCCTGTAACGAGGCATTTTCAAAGACAATACACCTTGCCTCTCTTTAGGGGGGATGTACCAAAACAAGATACATGAACAGCTTTATTTATTTTTTTTTTTTTTGCAGTTGGCTTGGCTGAGATTGGTTCTGTTAACCACTTAATCCGAATGTGGTTTGGAGGGGGGGGAATAAAAAGTGGAGTCCTCATGATCAGGGCTGCAGCAAATCTCTGCTCCTTGCCATCCGGTTTTCATTGTCCCCCTTTATTGCAGGAGATCGATTGGGTTGTTTGACAAGTGGAGGATGGCTTTTGGTTTTTATATGCCGTATTCGTTTTGTTAATTTCTATGTGGCGAAGAAAACTTGTTAGACTTTATCTTACACTTCTGTTTGTTGGTCAAGGAAAAAAATAGTTTTCTTTGGAGTGAAGATGGGAAGTTAAATAGATAGTTTTTACCTAGGTTAGGATAAGGCAAGAGGAAAATATTGAAAAACTACTATTTGTTCACATTAGGTAAAGGTGAGTGCCTTCTCCATGGGAACATATAGCAAACAAGAGCGCTTGAAGTGAAAGTAAACTGACATTATGCTCTACTCCTACAAAGTTGTCTCTGTTTGGGAAGACCCAGAATTGGACCCACATGAAATGAGTTCCTGCCTTATCTCAATTCGCTAAAGACCTGGTCCTTTGGCACAAAGGTGCTTACTTCCTAGCCTGTCATTACACATGGCAGTCCCATCTCCAGAGAATTTCAGGACTCATTGCTAGGCAACAGACTCGCTCTTTATCCCCCAGAGCAAACCTACGCCTTCAAGTCAGAATCACTTGCACTAACAGAGATGTTATCAGGCATTTCTGCAAAGTGGCTGCTTGCAGCGTGTGAAGTGATGCAGCAAGCCCAAACAGTCTCCAGAAATTGGGACCGATTTCAGATCATCATAAGGGCTGTCTACTCAGTTTTATCATTTAAACAAAATAGTCTGTGCCTTCTGCTTTCCACCGTGTCATCAAGGGCTCCCATATTCTCCCACAATGCGCCTGCAACTCAAATTAATATTAATGTTCTGCATTTATATGAAATGTTCTCTAGACATTTTGAGTTCCCAAAACCTGGCGACAGACTTTGGACTTAGCAAGCCTTTCTCCTGCTTAGTAACTCGGGACCCTAGCATGTAGAGAAGGCAAGAGAGAGAATAAGAGAGGTTATCTGTAAAATAGAATCTCCTAGATTGCTGGAAAAAAAATTGGGAGAAAAGGACCTGAAATGTTGGTTGAAAGGCTGTTCCAAACAACTAACTCCTCTATGTTTATTGACTTTGTTTATATAATACAGATATTTTTTAGGGTACAAAGAAATGAAAACTCCTGTTATTCAATGCAGAGTGTATTTCTCTATCTCTGACTGTATCCTGCTAGGACATGTTGCCTTAGGGAGTAGAACCCTTCAATAATGACTTGTTTTCTAATGAATAATGTCTTTTGTCTGTCTGTTTGGTTTTTTTCAGGACATGTACCCTGGATGTCAGCTGAGTTACTAAGGTAGTGCTGCATGTCAGTAGACAGACCTTGGTAGAACCTCAAGGCTCCCGGAGACCCCCATCTCTCCTTGTTTTTTTGTGTGTGTGTCCTCACTGAACATTCAAAACTGTTTCTCCAAAGGGTTTTGCAAAAACTCAGACTGTTTTCCAAAGCAGAAGCACTGGAGTCCACAGCAGAAGCGATGGGCAGTGTGCGAACCAACCGCTACAGCATTGTCTCTTCAGAAGAAGACGGGATGAAGTTGGCCACCATGGCGGTTGCAAATGGCTTTGGGAATGGGAAGAGTAAAGTCCACACTCGACAACAGTGCAGGAGCCGCTTTGTGAAGAAAGACGGCCACTGTAATGTTCAGTTCATCAATGTGGGTGAGAAGGGACAACGGTACCTTGCAGATATCTTTACCACATGTGTGGACATTCGCTGGAGATGGATGCTGGTTATCTTCTGTCTGGCTTTCGTTCTCTCGTGGCTGTTTTTTGGCTGTGTGTTTTGGTTGATAGCTTTGCTCCATGGGGATCTGGATGCATCTAAAGAGAGCAAAGCTTGTGTGTCGGAGGTCAACAGCTTCACAGCTGCCTTCCTCTTCTCCATCGAGACCCAGACAACCATCGGCTATGGCTTCAGGTGTGTCACGGACGAATGCCCAATTGCTGTTTTTATGGTGGTGTTCCAGTCCATCGTGGGCTGCATCATTGATGCGTTTATCATTGGCGCAGTCATGGCAAAGATGGCAAAGCCGAAGAAGAGAAACGAGACTCTTGTCTTCAGTCACAATGCTGTGATCGCCATGAGAGATGGCAAACTGTGTTTGATGTGGCGGGTGGGCAATCTTCGGAAAAGCCATTTGGTGGAAGCTCACGTGAGAGCACAGCTGCTCAAATCCAGAATTACTTCCGAAGGGGAGTACATCCCCCTGGATCAAATAGATATCAACGTTGGGTTTGACAGTGGAATTGATCGCATATTTCTGGTGTCCCCCATCACTATAGTCCATGAAATAGATGAAGATAGTCCTTTATATGATTTGAGTAAACAGGACATTGACAATGCAGACTTTGAAATTGTTGTGATACTGGAAGGCATGGTGGAAGCCACGGCCATGACAACACAGTGTCGTAGCTCATATCTGGCCAATGAAATCCTTTGGGGCCACCGCTATGAGCCTGTACTCTTTGAAGAGAAGCACTATTACAAAGTGGACTACTCAAGGTTCCACAAGACTTATGAAGTGCCCAACACTCCCCTTTGTAGTGCCAGAGACTTAGCAGAAAAGAAATATATCCTCTCAAATGCTAATTCATTTTGCTATGAAAACGAAGTTGCCCTCACAAGCAAAGAGGAAGATGACAGTGAAAACGGAGTCCCAGAAAGCACTAGTACAGACACACCCCCTGACATAGACCTTCACAACCAGGCAAGTGTACCTCTAGAGCCCAGGCCCTTACGGCGAGAGTCGGAGATATGACTGCTTCCTTCTCTGGAATATTTACTTTAAACTACAGTCTGTTGGTCAAAGGCCCAAAACAGTTATTCAGACGACGGTACTGGTGAAGAGGTGGGTCAAGGCAAGTGGCCACAAGGGACTGAGGCTAGTACAATGGTTTCAGAGAAAGACTGTAAGCTCGGAGATGAACATCAAGCACTCAACATGCCTCCCCCTCCCCACCCTTCCCACCCCCAGCCCCGTGACCCAATGGCACATACATGTTGTAGAATAAGTTATGGGGTCTTTATGTATTGTTTTGTGTTTTTACAAAACTTGAACTTGCAGGCAAGCCTTGGTTGGGTATTTGACTAATCCAGAATGCTTCTCTTTAGGGAACAAGAATGTTTTTAATGGCATAACAAAGGCAAGACTCTGCCTTAATTTTTGAAAAGCTGCTAACTACATGAACACAAATTGTATTTTTGTTGTTGTGTAGTTTTTCTTTCATGTAATTTAAAAGTCAGTGTTGAACTTTGTTGAAAGCTCATGATATGTGCTTCAAAGTGGCAAGTGTTTGCCAAGAGCTGCCAAAACGAGAGCCTGATTTTTTTGAGGCCAGTAATTTGTTTGCTAGAATTGATTTTCTCTCTCTCTCTTCCTCTCTCTCTCTCTCTCTCTCTCTCTCTCTCTCTTTGGTTACATAAGGGCATTATGTAACACTAGCCAAATGGTAGCCTCTGGGTTTGTTTGTTTTGTTTTGTTTTTTTTCTTCCATGATGTTAATGGGTTATCTCAAATTTTAAGTTAGACTACCTAAAATAAATACCAAAGATAATGCACATTTTTGCACAGTGGAGCTTATACTAAAAGGGATAAAAAGCCCCGTGGCTGCCTTGAAATCAAGAGACAGTAACTTTGAACCTCAGCAAGACCTTGAATTGCCCTTTCCTTTTTCACCTTATTCAGAAAATAGAACATCATACACACAGAGTCTAGTAAGTGTAGTGCTTTTTCAGTTTTGTTCTTTCATGCAACTTGTGTATGATAGGAGAAAGAAGAAAGGGGAAGTAAAATTCACACATACACAATATTAAATATCTTTTCTTTCCTGCGAGGTAGGGCTGGCCAGGCTAATGCATAAGGTGCGAGATGGCGACATGCTCTTAGATTTTTCTGGGTTTTCCCCTGTTTGCACATTCCAAAATGTATTCCTAGGTTGGAGTTTGTTGGCATCCTCAAGGCTGAGCCGTCCAACATGAAAGATAAATAAGGTTAAACCCTTGTGGCCGAATTCGTTGCCCCAACTGTCAGGACACTTCCAGCTTGACTTTGCCTTTGAGAAGATGCCACAGCTGGCCTCTAGGCTGGTTCTTCCGATCGGTCTGTGTGGAGCAAGTCCCCTGGTGTCTGGGAGGCTGCAGATGCCAAAGGAGGAGCCAGCGAGATGTGGACCAGCCACTTCTGATGTAGTGCATCAGCTCAAGTATTCAGGAGGGAGAGGAGAGTTACTTTCTTTTTTAGTGGTAGAGGGTAGGAATGAAAATGTCGCAGTGTTTTAGGGTCAACAAGAGCCGTAGAAAATATGAGGCGGCCGCAAGTAGAGGAGATAATGAACTACAAGGTGTACTTCTCCTTTATATATGCACACCTGGGGTTGGATCTGAGCTGATCCTTCTAGCCTGTGGATCCTGAGAGCAGGTTACTAAGGACACGTTTTCGAGAAGTCTCTCCTGCCTGGCTGATCGAAACTCTTTTTATTTTTTCCCTCTTGCTCTAACTCAATAACGGAACTCTCTTTTTTTGGCTTAAAGTTCCTTATGTGTGAATTCTGGGGGGGGGGGGGTGCTGACTTTTCTTTTTAATTGGAGTCTCAAAATCAACTCTCTTACGGTATGATATCCCTGTATGCCATTAAAAAACAGCTTGTTCTGAAATCCTGTATTTTGTAAATTGATGTGTGTGATAGTCTCTGGTTCTTGAACAGCCATCTCTGAAAGCCGTGCCTGCAATAATATGACAGATTCTGCTGTTCTCAGCCTTCAAAGTCGATGGGTTTGAAAACTGGTGTTCTTTTCACCGAAACCAAGACAGAGATGTCAAGCAAGTGGATGCTATGTTAAATCCAAATGTAAAGGCAGGTTTGGAAAGTTGTTTAGAGAGTTGGAGGAATTGGGGTTGATGGGACAAAAGGATTGACAGAAGAGGGAACAATTTGGCTGTTGACAGTGAGTGAATACTGAGGGCTCCAGCTGCTGCTATTTCGATATGTTGCAAAGGAAAATAATCAAACCAAAGAGTATTCGGTGATATGTAAATGAAAGGAAGATGCGATGGAGAATGGGGGTGACCACTGAGGAGGTTCCTCCCAAACACACAGTGCTGCCACTTAAAAACACTTGAGATATTTGAAAGGGGGTGGGTCTGGGGGCAAGGATGAGGGAGGGAAATCTTTCAACTTCTTTCTGAAAAAAGGAAAAAAAAAATCTAACATTTCTGGTGCACAGGTTTGTTTTTGTTTTTGGTTTGTTTTTTTTTTTTTCTTTTCCAAGAAAATTTTGCAGAAGCTATGTTTTTAAAGTGTACATTTTATAAAGTTTATCAGATATTTTCATATTTAAAGCCAAATGTAAATAGACGTCTGTAAAGGGAAAAAAAATTGCCATAGAAAGTATAATTTCCGTAATTTCTGAGAGCGAGTACCTATATGCTACCGGTTAGCATGGTTTTAGCAAATATTTACCAGCCTTATAAGGTTCGTGTTACTATGTTCTGTTATTTATTTCAGCATGGACTGTTCATTTGAAAGCTTTTTCTAGTTATTAGTATTTTTAACAATTACAAGCTTTAAATGGCAATTTTTTTTTTTTTTTTTTTTTTTTGTCAAGAGCCAAGACGCAGGTAATGCACAACATGTCTTGTTGCATTTTACCTTCAAAACATTTGTCCTTATTGACTGGGTCTCCTTTCCGTAATTAGCGCACATATGTCATTAGAATGAAGACAGAGGAGATTCGCCGTGAATATCTGGGGTCTGTTCCCAGCTAGGTGTTGCTTCTCTATTGCAAGCAAACCCCCTTGAATTTACTTAGGAATTGCTCCCTTTTAAAGAATTTTTGCTCGTGTCTGGATGGGCATTATATTTTTGGGAGGAGGCATAGATTCCTGGCTATCCTATTTTTTAAATAAAAGATAGACAAAGTGAATTCTATTTTGACTATTGAGAATAGAATAGTTTTCTATCCCTCTAAGAAGTATACTTGAATCAGACATTGTAAGGATGTCGCTATAGCACTGTAGCCATTTCCAAATTCCCGGAGAAAGTCTGTTTTACCTTAAAAAAAAAAACACACACACACACCTATTAATGCGTTATTTTTTTTTTCTCCTCATTTCCTTTCTTCCCTATAAACTTCCATCCCAAACCTTGATGTCTGTTTGATGCACTCCGTCCCCCCAAATCATGTTACCCTCGCAAATAACAAATGTCAGTTCATGTTTTATAATAAGCCGCTCAGTAAGGGCAAGAAGCTTGTTCTGAGAAGCAGAGTGAGTTCTTTTTCACTCTGGGTCTAATAAATGTTAAGGTGAAAAATAAAAGTGTTCTATAGGCACCTCCCAACTCCTGACTAGAATCTCTTTTTCTAGTTCTGTTGGGTTTCAGCTCTGGGCTCTGGCGAGTTGAACAATCCCGGCCTTTGACAATCGTGATCACTATTATTTTCCCATTTGCCGTCTTTTTGTATCTAAAAGTCTTCCTATTGTGCTGCACAAACCATGGATTGTACATATTTTTATATATTATGTCTTATTTTATTATTTCTAAATAAAAAATTAAAAATTGAGGACAAATTCGTGCAAGAGTCTGTGGGCTTCCTGTGTGATTGCTGTAGAATTGCTGAGATCGGAAGCAAATGTTCCCAAACAATAGGACATAAATCCTGACCTTTGGGAAGAATAGAGCCATAGAAATTGCCCAAACAGGGAGGTGTGGTGAAGTGGCAGATGAACTTAATCCAAGTTAGAGGAAGTCAAGCTCGTATTTTGTTTTTGGACAGAATGTCGTAGGTAGAGAGAGGATGGAAAACAAAGACGCAGATAAAACTGACAAATTCAGACGCTTTAGCTTTTGACTCTCTGTTTAATGATGATAGTTACCCTTTATGGAGCCTGAACCATGTGTAGGGTTCTGCCTTCTACATTATCTCACTGTCCGCCCTGCCCCCACCCAACCCCGGCCGATTAGGATACTATTATTCCTGTATTATAAATCAGGAGTTGGTAAAATTGTTCTGTAGAAAGCCAGACGGTAAATATTTTGGGCCTTGCAGAACAGAGAATCTGTGTCAACAATGCAACTCGGCTCTTGTAGCCCAAAAGCAATCACAGATAATATGAAAATAAATGATGTGTTTCAATAAAACTTGACTAATGACTGGTGGGCCAGATTTGGCCCATGGCCTGTAACTTACCAACCTTGGTTATAGAGGAAACTGAGGCTGGATTTAAAGCTAATGAATTGCTGAGATGGTATTTGAATTCAGGTTTTAACCGCCTCCCAACTCAGTTTAATCCACTAACCTATATATTGTTTCAGGACACAAAGTTGCCAGGGATAGGCAGTCTCAGAGAAAATGCCACTTCTTCCAGCAGATTTGGAATAAACCGTTTCTTCATGATTGGAAATACTGAGGAAATCCGCAGTCTGAAATACGGGTTGCTCCTTAATATTTTTTCTTTAACAAATACAGGGCACTTACCGTGTTTCAAGCATGGTTCTAGATTCTTTGTACGTATGAAATAATTTAATCCTTACAGCAACTCTGTAGAGTAGGCAGTGGTATTATCCTCATTTAAGAAACGAGGAACCAGGCCCAGGGAGGTTGAGTGCCTTGTTCAAGCACACACAGCAAGTAGGTATTAGAGCTGAGATGTAAACTGAGGCCATTGAGCACTGGGCTGTGTGCTTTTTTTTTTTTTTTTTTGGTCTTTGTTTGATCACTACTCTATGCTTTTCCATTTGGAGGCATTCTTGGCACAAGTTTCACCATTTAACCCAAGGCCTTTCTGCTTCCTAGTTTCTATGTTCCTAGGTGATGAAAATGCATTCCTTTTCTCCACACGAGACACATGAGCCCAGGATTTCCACCTCCTTCATAACCTGCTCCTCCATTTCTCATCCAGTTCTTGGAGAGATGGAACAATTCACAAAGGGTAGAGGAACAACAAATTTAAGCATTGGTTGTGGGATCTGGGTAAATTTCAAACTTCAGATTAGTTTCCATTAACTAGGAATTGCTCGGTCCTGTCTCCAGGCGAAACCACAAAGCTCTGGTACTGACCAAGCTACGGGCACCCTACCACATTATATACACTGTGCTTTCTTCCCACTCAGGGAGCCAAAGGTGTAACAAGATCCTCTTGGTGACTGGCCTCACTAAGCAAGATATATAATGGTAACTCCAGGGAGCGAGCTGAATGCTATGTGTGCCTCACCTCTACTTAAAAAAAAAAGTTTTCTTTTTTAATTAAATATATATACCAAAAGAAAAGACAGAGGTGGGATTTCAGAGTCTTTCTGCTTAGGCCTTCTTTTCAGTGACAAACGAAACCTCCAAATCCTGGCCTGCTGAAGCAGCGGCTCCCCAGATCCTACTTGCAAAGAAGAAAACAAATTTCCCTCTAGAAATTTCCATTTTAGAGCTGGCAAAGCAGATTAAGTCAGTCAGATTTGCTTCCCAAATTTAAATAAATACATACGTAAATAAATGAAGGCTAGCTCCATGTACTTTAAGAACCAGCTCCATGATCAGCTTATTTAAAAAAAAAAAACAAAAAAACAGAGACTTTTTCTTTTTCCAAAATAATTCAGTTCAAGGACTCTAGTGACCTGATGATTTGAGCCACTATATGAGGATTATTATAATAACTTTAAAAATTACATAATTACAAGGTAACACCTGTAAGCCATGAGTCAATAATTCTACCACAGTACCTGCTTCTAGAATAGGGTGACCAATTGTCCTGGTTTCCCGGGGCGGGGGATGGGGGTGGCGGACAGAGGGGCTTCCCCGGAGGCAGGCATCACAGTGCTAAAACTGGAACCTTTCTGGGCACACTGGGATGAGTCAGTCATCTAGTTTGGAAGGTAGTGGAGTAGGATGCTGGGAAAGGAAAGGAGAGAGCCATTAAGAAGAATGTGGAAGGGGAGGAGTTTAAAATTCAACACAAGATTGTTACTAATAAGAATAATAATGATGAATAATTACACCTAAATGGCTCTCTCCAAATAACTGCAAGTTGTTGCCTTCAGGGCATTCATTGTTTTGGAGGAAGGGCTTTCTAAAAGACTATACAATTCCCTGCTTATTAAAAAAATTGAGATGTATTATTTAATGTTTCCAAGGAAACAGGCTAATAGGTGCTGCTCTGTCTGGAGGGATGTGCTTTTAAATTTTGTCCATTAAACCATCAGCTGCGGTTCTGTCCATTGCCAGAGTCCCTTCGCATCATTTAGGCTTTTGTTTCCCATCCGCTGTGTCCAGGACTAAGATAATCCATTATAAGGACTGTACGACTGAGGTCAGATGCCCGGCAAACCAGAAAGGTGAGCTGAGACACAAAAGTCTGGCTTGAATAAAGGGATTTTATGATTTCTGTCCTTGTTTTCAGGGATTTTTTTTTTTTTTTAATTTCAGGTTTGAGATTATGTTCCAAGAGGTTGAGGCTGTTAAAGGTTTTGACTTCTCGAAAATTCCGTTCAACTTGACCAAACATTTATGGAGGAGTTATTACCTGGTGCTGGTGATTCGAAGTTTTCTATGTGGCCTTTGTCTTCATTAGATCATAGTTTAGAAAATGAGCAGTGCAGATGGATATCCATTTTGTCCTGCAACTGTGAAAAGTAGTTGAGTTTGCAACAAAAGCAATGTATGTATAATAACAGCTGCCAGTTACCGAGTGCTCCCGACGCATTCGGCGCTGGACAACCACACAGTTCTTGCCCTCGACGTACAGAAATCTTCACTTCGCTGAATATTTTTTCAGGGATGTCGCCATGGATTCAAATATGTTTGCAACAGCTTACTGGGAATTGTTGAGGTTGCTTTTGTCGAAACTTCGCCCCCAAGGATGCTGTTCTTCCACTTCTTCGTGCTGAACGACGGCTCTAACCCCAGTTCCCGCTGAGGTTAGTAGGTCTGGGCAAGCACCTGCCTTGGCGCCGCCCCAATCCTGACGCATGCGCAGAGATCACCCCTTGGGCAAGCGTCTGACTTC